TTTTTTTTTTTTTTTTTTTTTTTTTTTTTTTTTTTTTTTCCAGCCTGCAATTCATGGATTTTTGTACTACCGTCTTCCCCCGAACACAACAACGCACCCTCATTTTGATCGTATCGGGTCGGAAACATGCCTTGCATTCGTTCATTTTCAGGGTGCCTTATGTTCGGGGGAAGAACGTAGGAGCTCTTTGGTGAGGTCCCCACTGAAAAATGCCCCAATGCCCACTCAGCCTGCAATTTATGGATTCGGTAGGAGCTTTTTGGTGAGGTTCCCACAGGTCTAGACTGCCAGTCTGGTCTGGAGTCTGGAGTCTGGACAGACTTTTGTCTTTTTGTTTTGTCTTCAGTGGACCCATCAGGACACAGCTCCATGAAAGGAGAGCTTTGGGGCCTGGCTCCACTACTCTCCATAGGTCAAGTTTGGCCAGTAGGCGCCTGGTTGCCCTTAACTCGCCGAACTTGGTGAGCGAGGGAACGTGTCAGAACTTTTGCCGAGTCTCCTTTTTCAATCTGCCGACTCGCTACTGCCTGCCATGTTGTGGAGGGTCCTGACTCGGACTCGCTATTGCCTGCTATTTTGTGGAGGGTCATCCTCGTGAGTGCGGTGACCCTCCACAAAACAACTTCTTGGCAAGTGCAGTGCTTCATGAGGGGAGGTCAGGCAGACAAGATTTTTTAGAGTGAGTGCAACCAGCCAGGCCTCCAGTTCGACACGGTTCAAGTTTCTTTCACTCACCACGCATACGCCACGAATTGTGGCGGATGGCGAGTCGTGCAACTAGGGCCTTGATGAGGTGGTGCTGTGAGGCTACGGGCCTCGCCGCACTACTCACCAAACACCTTTTTTGGTGAGGTAGGCATGCCCGCACTACCTCACCAAATTGAATTCCCTTTGGTAAGAAAGTAGTCCGAATTCGTGCGGATTTCAATTGGTGAGGGCTCACCAAAAATGCCCCGACTCCCAACTCCCAGGTTGCAAATTCAATTTGTCCATTTGGTAGGAGCTTTTGGGCACACACGAGTTTGGTGAGTTTTCCACCCGGCGTCCAGACTGCTGGCCTGGACAGACCTTTTGTGCTTCTCCTTTGTCCTTAGCGAGCCTGTCAGGACACGATTCCTTCGAAACAGAATTTTGGTGAGGTGGTGCGGCGAGGCCTGGGTTTCGTGAGGTTTTGAGTCCTCGCTGTGTCGGTGAGCACTCACCACACATTTTCAAGAATGGTGAGTAGGGCGGCGAGGGCCGTAGTTTTGTTGAGTTTTCAAGGTCTCGCTGCGGTGGTGAGAACTCACCGACCATTTTCAATGTTTGGTGAGCAGTACGACCAGGCCTGAAAACTCGCCATAGTGAGTGCTCACCCTACCTCCTCATTGCACCATCTCACCAAACAACAAATCACCTCCAAACGGTGGAAATGGTCCTAATATGATAAATGGGGTGCGGCGGTGAGAAAACGCATCCAAATGGTCACCAGGTTGTTCTGGAGTTTGGAAGCCAGAGTATGGCAGTCGCCTTCCGTAGTCGGCCATTAGGTTATCCAGATGGTCTACAGAGGGCCCCATTGACATAACCTGTTTGGTGATGTGGGTTTTGTTTGCCCAAATTCTCAGTCCTTTTGGCTAAGATCAAGTCTAATATCTGTTATGATCAGCTGAAGAAAATAAGAAATTTCTGTCTCTTACAACCAGAAAAGGCCCCAGTGTGAGTATCCGCTAAAGCCAGTCCACACAGTGTAACTGGGGCAACATCCCTCTTGCCAACATCCTCCATTTCTGACCATCAATTTGGATGATCAGCAGCCTGAAACGAATAATCCAGGCAAGTGGGACCTCCCCCGCTTTCTTATTTCTGTTTTGGTTTGGGGAGGTGGCACTGGAAAGGAGGACCTCTTTTTGTTTTTTTGTTTTTTGAAACTATCCACAGAAGGCATTACCAGAGCAGGCCCAGGTACCACGCACCGCGATGACTCCTGTCTATTGGTGGGGAGCTGCACCTGCTGGAAACCGGGTCCAAATCCCTCCTTCATAGAACTGGGGTCAGCACCCAGCTTCAGATCAGAAAATGAGAATGAGAAAATCTTAGGATCAAACAACAACAGCGGGGAAAGATGGCTATGGATGCTCGGGGGCACCACAGTGTCCATCCCGTCTCTCCTCCACCGGATCTAACTCCAGATGAAGGGTAAACAAAAAAAAAAAAAGGGTGATCTACAGCCCTGAATCGTGGTAGCGTTGTGATTCTGATTGGGACTGTGCCTGTTGTCACTGCTGCCTGCTGTCGATCATTGGATTTCTGCCAAAGACAGGGGGTGAGGTGGGAACAAGTCGTGGAAATCTGATGCTGGTCGAAGGGGGATGCTGGGTCGACTGGTGTCCAGTCCTTAAAGCAGAGAGGATAATCCCGGCTAACGTCCTCCTCCTCGTCTTGTTGATTCCTTGCTGCATCTCCTGTCCATGTCACCTCCGCAGTCCATCCCCCTTGGCCCCCCCCCCAGCCAATCCCGCCAAAACTGGGTGATAATTTTGGAAATGTCTTTATGGGTATGGGAAAAGTTCAGGTTTTGTTTGGCTGTCTGTCGTCAATATGTCAGCTCTGTCCGTATTTGTGATGCTCAGAACCCCACTCCCAGCTCTTCTTTCCTTGTCGGAATGACTAAAGCGCGGAAAGGGGCCTGGAAAGCTGCAAAATGGAGCTCTCCCACACAGAGCTCTTGGAAGTGTACCAGACAAGAATTAGGTGCAGCACCTGCTGGAGTGCCCCGGAGGTAGTTCACTGCTTATGCTCACTCCTCAGGCACAACTATCCTGCAGGACCCCTCAGGACCCCTCTTCCCTTGATAAGGCGGATTGGGAGAAGTTGGCTAGCCATAAAAAGGTCTGACAGGAGAGAGCAGCAACAGCGGACATGGGACTGGCAATCCACCCAAGGGAAGGATGAGCTGCGAGTCCTTTACGGAAAAGACAAGACCTGGAACAGGGCGACTCAGGTCGCAGATTTGGACTTGCGCTCTCTTAACGTAAATGGGCTGGCTTCGGCATTAAAGAACCTGGAACGGGGGGGGGGGAGACATTGGCCTGACCTCATCTGCATTCAAGAAACCCACCTCACAAACTCCCCCGGAACACGTCAGAGCTCACAACCCAACCTGGCCCTACCAAAAATTGCAGCCCACGCACCGAGGCTAGGGTCGGCAGGGGTAATGATCTGGATCCCCCGTGACTCTCGGGCGGACGTCATCTATTCCGCAGTAGATGCGAGAGAGGGGATAGCTGTTCTCCTCATGCTGGAAATAGAAGCAGTTTGCATGGTCAGCGTTTACAGCCCCAATGAAGTGGAGCATTGCAAAATCTTCTCTGAACACATACGGTCTCGATTGCCACAAGTTATAACGACAATCATTGCAGGGGATTTCAATGCGGCTCCGGATCGCAGGCCAGGAAATGCAATTAAGTTTTGAAAATACGTGCCAAAGGAAAATACACCCAGAAAATTAACATTCCGAAGGAAATCCGCAATCTTGAATAGGAAAGCAGTCTGCCACTGCGCTCTCAAACCCACACAGAACCAGCAGAAATACGAAGGCTTAAAAATCAGCTCTTAGAGTTTGCCCAGCAAAGATGCCAGGACCCCATCATTAGAGGCAAGTTAACCAGACACTCCACAGAGGGACAAATGGATGCAACCTTCTTCGCACTCGCCCAAACAAGGGTCAAAAGATCCATTATAGAGGGACTATACGATGCACTTAAAACACAGGAGGTCACCTCTTACTCCTCGGCCTATGGCCTGGAAGTGGTTAGGGACTTTTATAAAGAACTTTTTTCATCTACCTTCGTCGGGGAATCAGAGCAAATAAGAGAACACAATATTGAGGACTTCCTGAACCCCCTCTCCCAAAGAATCTCGGACGAACAACGAGAGTCCTTGGATAAACCACTATGAAAAGAAGAAATCTGGAACGCCCTCTTGCAGATGGAGGAGGACAAAACCCCAGGAGTGGATGGAATCCCCAAGGAATTCTGGGAGGAGATGTGAAACCCCATGTCGGAGGAATTGATAAAATTTTATAGGCAGGTGAAGGCCTCAGAAGACATGGGATACCTAGCAAGTCAAGGAAGTTTTACCCTAATGTACAAAAAAAAAGACAAAACGAATATAAAGAACTATCGACCGATCACCCTCCTCACGGTGGTGTATAAGTTGATGACTAACTTGAAGGCGATGACCAATCGGATGATACCGGTCCTGGAGGAGATAATCCACCCCACACAAACGGGGTTTATGCGCAACAGGAATATCCAAGACAATGTGTTACTGGTTAATGAATCAATTAAGTTATCGAGACAGTCGCACAAAAATGCGGCCATAGTGTTCATCGATTCTGAAAAAGCCTACGACCACGTCGACTGGAAATTCATGGACAAGTGCTTGCAGAAAATTAACTTTGGCCCGAAATTTAGGGACTGGATTATGACACTCCATCAAAATGCGACTACACGGGTGCAGGTGAACGGGCCATATTGCACCAGAAATCAAACTCCAGCGCTCGGTGCGGCAGGGTGACCCACTGGCCCCCTTCCTCTTCCTTGTGGTGATGGAAGCACTGACAGCTAACCTGAGAATTAACAAAAAAATCTCTAGGCTGCGACTGTCAGGCATTCCAGAGGAAGCCATACCTGAATATTCGATGTTTGCGGATGACCTTACAATAGTAGTCGAGGCCACCCAAAATAACATAGCGGAAATCCAAACCCTAATGGAACGGTTTACCTTGATGTCTAAGATGTCAGTCAGCTTGGGAAGCAAAACGCAAGGCTGGTGGATTCACTTTCATGACGTTCATCCCCCGGAACAGTCCAAGGTAGATTGGAGGCCTCTGGAAGAACAAATCATGGGGGTGACTCATTCAGCTCATGGACCACCAACAGGAAACGACAAATGGATCACTAGGTCGGCTCTGGAAAAAATGCAGAAATGGAGAAACAAAAACACATTTATTTTTGGGAGGGCTTATATCATCAACAACGTGGTGTTGGCATCCATCTGGTATAAATCGGCCCTCTTACATCTAGGGAAGGGCAGCATCAAGAGCCTCAAGAAGCAACTGGTTGCATTTCTCTGGCGAGGGAATCACGAGCAACAAAACGTGATCAGCAGGGTAGCATGAGACAAGTTGATCCACCCTAAGACCAGGGGAGGACTAGGCTTGTTGGATCCCTCCCTACAAACCACCGCTCTATCAATCCAATGGTTTAAACGACTGATTGTTGGGGATACCCCCCCCCCCATGCGAGGATCTGACAATGAAACAGATCGTAGACTGACACCCAGAACTATTAACACAGTGAACCCGCTCACATGGCTTGAGGATCGGTATTGGACCATCCCTCGAGCCAACGCGTGCTCACGAGAGGAGGGGGATAGAGGAGTGGCTAGACAAGACCTAGCAAAAGACAATTTTTTGAGCAGCCTAATGAAGAATTGGAGGAGGTTACCGATTCCTGATAGGCCTACACCAGAACGGATGAAGGAGATCTTAAGCCAACCCCTGTTTGGGAACAGGGCAATCACGAATATGCAAGGAAGGGTATACGGCAACTCATATCCCCAATGGGCTTCATAGGTCAAACAGGGGATTCTCCGGGTACGAGACATATGGGATGAGGAAAACAAAGATTGGAAAACGGCCCAACAACTTAGACCCTGCCTTCGTCATGCTCACAAGCTCGAGGACACACTTGACCAGTTAATATTTTCGATCCCCCTAGCCTGAGTGGTGACCATGAGAAAGGGTAGGAGTCACAGGACATTACAAGAACAAGACTGGGTACCAGTAAGGGTAAAGGACTTCCCCTTGCAAATAGGCTCAGTGGCAAAGGCAAGACCGGATGGGGCAATGGTCAACCTTTTTGAAAGAAGACGAGACGACACCTTCGTAAGGTATCACCTAGACGGGGTCCAGTGGCATGAAAAATTCAACCTTTATCGGATTCGAGTGCTGCAGAGCCAGAAGGAAGGGAGGACCCAATGTCGAGCCTACCTACCAGAAACCCCCCTATCCGAGCTAGCCATGGACCCTCTGGAATGACAATGGATAAGAGGACGTAATAGGCAACCAATGCAACTCTCTGAACTAACAGTAAAAACCACCTATAGGATGACCAGGCCCCGAGTGGATGTTCAGACAGAGGTAGGAGACAGATGTAGAAACACCTCAGCCTACATAGGGACAAAGTTAGAGGACTGAAATGGTTCAGAGGGTTGAAAGAGAGACCGACAAAATTCGTCTCCCTATAGTGGCAAATCAATCACAAATGCCTCCCCACCAATAATTGGATCATCGACATGACGAACCTGGAACAGAGGGGTGAGACTCTCCCATGCTGCAAATCCTGTAACGCAGGGTTCCCGAGACGAAGAATATGCGAAACAATAGAACATATCTTTCTACAATGCCTTGAGGCAGTCCTGCTGTGGCGACGGTGGGACTGCATCTGGTCTCAACTGGGCACCGACGAGTGGTCATAAAAATGGGAAGCTCTTCTCTTTAGAGAGTGGGGAAGACACATACATCACGCCTAGCCAACAACTTTTCTTCATGACCAAGAACGCGATGATCTTGACGTTGTGGTTAAGAAGGTGTGTCTTTGACCAAGAAGGGGCCAAAATAGGGAAAGGGGAAGTGGCAGACATAGTAAAACAGTTTATTGAAACAAAAATAAGAATGCAATGGAAAAGAGTTCAGGAGAAAACGAAAATTCTCTCATAAAAAGAAGGACTGAATAAAGCATGTAATATGGCTCTCCAAATGCTTCGTGATATGCGCGCGATGTCTGCTCAGATGCAGTGTGATTTTCGGCGTGTTTCCAAACCAGGTGGACCAAGGAAGGAAGGTTGCGTCTTGTTCGAGTATGTAAAAGGGGTGAAGCACGCCCTTAATGGGCTTGTTCTATCTCCCCCGGATCAAAACATCAGCGAAACCTGGATTGAATGCCCACTCCACTATAAGGCCGGATTGGATCTCATGATCCTAGAAAATAGCAACTATATGCCATTACCTAGGAACGAAGTGGAAGTCCTAACTAGTATCAAAAGTGAGTATGAGAAAGCCGATCTGAGTAAGCTAGGAAAATGAGACCGGAAAGGATGCTTACAACATTTATATATCCTCTCTAAAGAGAAGGACAAAAATAAGAAAATACGAATTGTCCCGTCTTACCTCAGTCCATTTAGATCGGCCTCCGGAGTGTTGGCTACCGCTTTAAATGCACTAATCCCGCACACAACTGAAGACATTTTAATCTAAGAAGGTTATCAGATTTAAGAATAGAAGTCACCAGGATTAACGAGCACACTGAAATCAAATCTGGAAGCCACGGGGTCCTTGCCCGCACGTATGACATCAAGGAGATGTTCACGCAACTTCCTCACGAAGAAATCTTGAAAGCCGTTTCTTGGATTACTGGAAGCTTTACTGCTAAGTCTGTCAAATGGATTCGAATTAACTATAAAAAAAAGGCAGCTCAATTTTGCAAAGCAAATGGTGAGACAGGATGAAAATCAGTGCGCCGGATAGACCTGGTGAAACTATCGGAGTTTCTGTTGGGTAACACAATTTTCTTAGTATCAGGCCAAGTGTTGCCGCAACGCAAAGGCATTCCTATGGGTGGAAGGGAGAGCCCTCCACTCGCATGTGTGCTATGCATGTTTGCCGAAAATCAGTTTATACGGAGCTTGGGGACAGACAAAAATTTGGTTATGGGTAAGCGGTACATAGATGATCTACTGATTATCTCACTGTTCCGACCTCAGGATCCAGAGGCCCGGGAGCAAGCTCAAAGGAGGCTTGATCAAGTTTCACACAGCTACCCCGAGGGCTTAGTGTTGGAAAGAACCGACCCCGGGGTTGGAGTGATTGATTTTCTGGAAACGTGGATGATTATTTGCCATGAAAAAACGATTCTTATGTCTCACAAATTTAAGAATGCTGAATCAGTTTGGAGCTCAGATCCTCTTCGTTTTCAGACCTACAAAGACTTTTCGTCGTACGGACCAAGTTCATCGAACTTTGCCACGGTTGCTAATACTATACTACGCATTCTGCAGAACTCTAATGACCWGGGGATCACGTGCTGGAASGTGTTCACGTBGTGTGAAGAACTGAGGAAATGCAGATATCCAGGAAAGGTGGTAGCTGCCGGATTGACGTGGATGCATCGGCGCGAAAGAACACCACTTTGGGACAAATTAACAGAGGCAATAAAATATTTTCTGGCGTGAAGTCTGCGGGTAAGTGAATTGGCCCGTTTTTTGGCAAGGATTGCCTCTTGAGTCATGAGATACCCTTGACGAATGATGAATGATAACCCGCAACCCAGCTACGTTCACGGAGGACGGTGTATTACGGTTTCGCACATCCTGGCCCCGACGCAATCGGATCTTTTGAGACTCACTTGCGAATATGGACACAGTGCTGTCACAAGACATACGATGAATGGTGCTGCAGCTCAGAGACCACGACCTGCGATCATATATTTTTTCCAAGTGATTTTGCCTAACCAGTAAACCGGTTACGTTCATGATGGTAACTACAGCTCTGTGGGGACTGCTAGGAGGGAAACACTGCTAAGTTTGTTCCACGCACTGCCTGGTGGCATATGCCTGACCCTCTCAGGTCTTTTGTACGGCTTTACCGTTTACTTTTTTACTTTTTCACTTTTTTCTGTTCTTCTCTAATTTTCGTATTTCGGAATTTTCTAGAAGTGGAATCCGAAGGTAACGAGGTAGTCGGCGAGCTCGTAGTTACTATAAGATCTAGCTAGAAGAGTTAGTTCCTCAATCTCTATGGCGAATGAGTAGAAGGATTGAGATTCCTCAATGGTGTGCAGTTGGGGAAGATGCTGGGGGAATGGTGATTTCGCCATGATAAGTAAACTCATGTCACCTTTTCCTAATTTCGTCCTATTTGTAATGTTTTGATGGACTAGAGCCCTAAATTCGACCTTGCCGTGGCTTGGGAACGAGTTTAGGGTGCCGGCCTCACCACGCGTGATAGCTGCACTTTGTGTTTTCTTCCCTTGTTGGGATACATTAATCCTTTGGGATTCATTAATTATTTGGAGTTCTTTTATTGCTCCAGTGATTGTTATTTCTTTTATATCTGTTTCCCAATTTTGTATTACCTTCTATTACCGTCTGCCTCGCAATCTGCCTATCTTACGTTGGTGGGCACTTCCCCCACCATACGCATCATCGGGTCGCATATTGATATTTTTTATGTGTTGCGATCAACCAAGTCGGGTTCTCTTATCCGATATGGTGAGGCGATCCGTGACGTGAAGGTGTCATCAAGCGCAGCGGGGGTAGTACGATAACGAGTACACATGAGGCGGCGAAGATCTCATCACCGTATGGTGCTCTGCATCAGCTGGAGATAAGCCACGTTGCTGAGCTCCGTTGAATCAAGGTGGATCATTGTACTAAGCTTGAGCTGTGGATTTACAGTCGGAATTGTAATTGGTCGCATGACTGGACGTGGACGTGGTAGCAAGGCGGGCGGACGCCGTGGGCGGTGGTCCAACGACGGGCGATATTGGACGGAGAACAATGTGGCAGGGTGTAAGGGGCAAAATCCGGAGGTTTATCCTACCCCGATTTACCCGCCCGGAATTAATCCACACCAGTATGGCACAACCTATCCGCCACCTGTCGGTATGCCGACCGCGAGACCTGTGCAGCAAGCGGGAGCTGGACCAGTGCCGACGCAGTACCCGAGCGTGCCATCTGGACCGGTACCGCAGCCATGGGGAATTCAACATTGGCAGCAGTGGCCGATGAATGTGCAATGGGGAGTGCAACCCACTCCCAGCATCCCTCCGCCTGCGATTCATCCTGCAAGTCATCCTCCAGTGAACCAAACTGCTATCCAAGGCGCGCCGACCGCTCCAAACAATGCATCGAGCAGTAATTCGAGGAAGGGACCAGCGGCGAATGAGTTTCCAGGTTCTGGTAATAGAGCTTACTTTACCAAGAAGTACATGGACATCCTCGAGGACATTAAGATGAATAAGGCAGTTGACGAAGCGAGGAAGAGGTTGTCTGGCAGTCGGCGAAGCAATGTGAGAATCGTGGAACTGCCGGATGATGGGAGCCGGTCTGAAGGAAGGTCTGTCGAGAGAAGCAAATCCTCTGACAAGAGCGATGAAGGCATGGGTAACCACCTTGTTTGGAAGTTCTCTCAAACTCATCACTGAGAAACTGCAAGAGGTGGACCTGAAGGTGAAGATTGCCTCTACGGACAAAGTCGAACTCACTCGGCTACGAGAGGAGAAAGTGGCCTGGGAGAAAGCTGCGCAAACGAATGCTGCTACGGGGGAGAAAAAGAGCAGGGAACTTTCGAGTAGCGAGAAAAGGAAGAGGGGAGTGGTGCGCACTCCAGTTGACAACTCGCCTCGAGGTAATCGGCTGCGGTCCAGAGGAAGTAAGAGGAAGTAACGGACGCAGCGTATTGATGTATCATCCGACGACGAAGATGGTAGAGCGGGCGCGGTCAAGCAGAACTTGCAACCAAAAATGGAATCAATTAGTGAACTGTCGGATATCAAAACGATGCTCACGACACTACTGCAAAGCTTTGCGGATGTCAAAGGTAAGGCTCCAGCTGTCGACCAAGAGCTGGCAGCAGCCCAGGAGGAAGAAGATCCCATTGACGAAGAAGATATTGATATCATCCAGAACGCCTTTAACAAGGAGGAGGAAGAAAACGGTGACGAATGTGGTTTAGCAACATACATGAAGATGCGGCAGAAGTTCTACAACTTGCTGCACTATACCCGAGTCCAAGAACTGAGCAAACAGAAGAGTATTTCGTACTTCAAAAAGGACCAAGGCGAGTGGGAGCTGGCCAAGGTTGACCTGCAAGAGTACACAGATATGCTGAAAGAAGAGAGACCCGTCGAGGCAGCATGAGCCTCGTCAAGGAAGTCTGAAGTAAAGCCTGGCACGGGACCGGAGAAGCCATCGCCGGCTGAGAACTCCATCAAGGGAAACTGATCGGGGGGAGCCTCCGATCGAAGCGCCACGCTGTTAATCGGATTGTTCGATTAAAGCCTCTTGTAGAGAACCCACTGCGCTTGTTACTAGAGAAACTGCATGTCCTGATAGTCCTTCTTGCTTGTCTGGACGGGGAAATTGCATGGGGTAGGACTTACCTCCAGTTCTGGTTACGCCTCTCACCAGTAGAATGGGATAAATTGCTTGAGGGAAAGGGTTGTGTCTATGTCCTAATGTCACTCTCGCATAAAGCAGTGTACGTGGGTAAGACTACCCGTTTACTGCGTGAACGGTGGCTAGAACACTATAGGGCAGTAACTGGGACTAGTAAGCAGAAAGTGCACACCTAGTTGAAGAAATGTGGTGTTGGGCATTACGTCCCAATCCGCCTCTGGTTTGGCGATGCATCTATCATTGATTGTGTTGAACAAGTCATCATTAAATTTGCAACCCTGGGTTAAATGCGCGTGGTAAGAAAACGCGCTGGTGGCGAAGGGCCAGGGGTACCAAAGAAAAGGCAAAAGCCTTTGGTTGTTTGCCTGCCCGGGCGGTTGAACCTCTGCTCTTTAGCTGCCCTGATATCGGTATTGCCAATGAACCAGACCTGCTGAAAATCTTGAAATCGATTTTCAAAAGGAAAGGTAAGAAGCGAGCTCTAATCTCCAATAACCCAGGCGGTCGTTGGGTAAAATCATGGCGTTTGATCGCTCTTCTGTTCGGTTTTTCCAAAATTGAATGCCCCGGTTGCAAACTATTGTTAAAAGATGCCAAAATCTATATTGAAGAAGGTGGTGCCTTTATTGTTTATAGCCTAGTTCGAACTGTCATGAAAACGGACCAGCTGAAGCATGATCTGATAGCTCTCCTCCGCGCCCCGTGGAAGAGACGTGATTTGTACAAACTGCAGTTATGCGAGTTGATTGATTTGAATAATGCAGTAAAATCAATAAACCAACCTAAGGGTCGTAAGGTGGTTCGAGGAATCCTGACCACGGTCCTAAAAAATAAGTTTGGTATTAACCCCCGGGCCAGGATCACAGGTAAGATCCTCTTTTGCACTACGATTGACAAAAGAAAGGTGGAAATGGAGGTAAGGAAATGGATGTTGGACACTATTCACCCAACTGTGCTAGGTGACTTGTGTGCTAGGCATACCATGGCGGTCTGGTTAAAAGCCAGATCGATCGCGGACATCCTGCATAATCAAAAATCTTTTGCACGCCAGACTGATTTTGTGTGTGTGTGTGCAGATTTCGATCTGCCCAAAATTGACGGGCATGTTGCAGTCAAGCTTAGGGGCGTGGAGGGGATACAACCATTTCTTTTTAATTCCAAAACTGTGTCTTTTCCCAGATCAGTAGCGATCAAAGAAGGACTGAATGAAGCATGCAATATGACTCTCCAAAGGCTTCGTGACATGCACGTGACGTCCGCTCAGATGCAGTGTTATTTTCGGCGTGTTTCCAAATCAGGTGAACCAAGGAAGGAAGGTTGCGTCCTGTTCAAGTATGTAAAAGGGGTGAAGCAGGCCCTTCATGGGCTTGTTCTATCTCCCCTGGATTGGAACATCAACGAAACCTGGATTGAATGCCCGCTCCGCTATAAGGCCGGACTGGATCTGATGTTCCTAGAAAATAGCAACTATATGTCATTACCTAGGAACGAAGTGGAAGTCCTAACTAGTATCAAAAGTGAGTATGAGAAAGCCGATCTGAGTAAGCTGGGAAAATGGGACCGGAAAGGATGCTTACAGCATGCATATATCCTCTCTAAAGAGAAGGACAAAAATAAGAAAAGACCAATTGTCCCGTTTTACCTCAGTCCGTTCAGATCGGCCTCTGGAGTGTTGGCTACCGCTTTAAATGCACTAATCCAGCACACAACTGAAGAACAACTTAATCTAAGAACGTTATCAGACTTCAAGATAGAAGTCACCAGGATTAACGAGCATACTGAAATCAAATCTGGAAGCCACGGGATCCTTGCCTGCACCTATGGCACCAAGGAGATGTTCACACAACTTCCTCATGAAGAAATCTTGAAAGCCGTTTCTTGGATTACTGGAAGCTTTACTGCTAAGTCTGTCAAATGAATTCGAATTACCTCTAGAAAAAAGGCAGCTCAATTTCGCAAAGCAAATGGTGAGACATGATGGAAATCAGTGCGCTTGATAGACCTGGTGAAACTATCGGAGTTTCTTTTGGGTAACACAATTTTCTTAGTATCAATCCAAGTGTTGCCGCAACGCAAAGGCATTCCTATGGGTGGAACGGCGAACCCTCCACTCGCATGTGTGCTTTGCATGTTTGCCGAAAATCAGTTTATACGGAGCTTGGGGGCAGACAAAAATTTGGTTATGGGTAAGCGGTACATAGATGATCTACTGATTATCTCACTGCTCCGAAGTGAGGATCCAGAGGCCCGGGAGCAAGCTCAAAAGAGGCTTGATCAAGTTTCACACTGCTACCCCTAGGGCTTAGTGTTGGAAAGAACCGACCTTGGGGTTGGAGTGATTGATTTTTTGGAAACGCGGATGATTATTTGTCATGAAAAAACGATTCTTATGTCTCACAAATTTAAGAATGTTGAATCAGTTTGGGGCTCAGATCCTCTGTGTTTTCAGACCTACAAAGACTTTTCGTCGTACGGACCAAGTTCATCGAACTTTGCCACGGTTGCTAATACTATACTACGCATTCTGCAGAACTCT